CTGGCTTGAGTACCCTAGTAAAGTGTCGTCGATGGAGGCACGTGTTCGTAGTTGCCGTAAGTGCAACAAGTTTGTTCCCCAGACAGTTTTAACCCATTTCGAATGTGATCTAGGGAAGCTGTGGTGTTATGGCGAATAGCCTCTTGAGAAAATTCAATGTGATCAACCCGATGGACGCATGTCATTTGGTTTTTTATGAATGGTCGCTCTTGGATTATTTACTTACCACCGTTTTCCTTATAAAATATTATTGCTAGTTTAGGTTCTCCTTTTAGGTGTTTATAAGCTACGTCCGTGTCCTTCTCGACCTCGGTGTAACAATCAACAGGCTCACCCTTTTAGACAGGAGGAAGATTTCCCCATACATGATGATAATGTCGCTGAATAAGCGCCGTTCTCTCTATATGTATCCTGAGTTCAAGGTTTGTCACTCTTACAGCGTTACCGCCTTCGATTACATTCTGTTATCTATTCAGTTGAATTCTAAACTTAGTATGATAAGGCATTAACTTTCAGTGCTGCCGTGAACTATTCGTTTGTTACGATATCGGTTTGGTTGCTCCAGTCTTCGCTCATGAGAATGACCGATTCTTGTCCTTGCGAATTTTCGAAGTGGATGAGTCACACGTACTTTACAAGAGGGATCTGCTGAATATCTGAGTACTGCACCGAGTAGGTCTTTCTTGTTTGAATGTAAAACGCTGTTTACCCACGACGACCCCACTAGCTGACATTCGGACTGGATTTTTCAGTAGGTCACTTTTGAGGCAGTCGGCCAAAATGGGCTGCGTGGTTGTTTTTTTTCCTTGAACAAAAGTATCGCATTAGTCGCATGGAGAAGCGCCTAGCTCTAGGGGTCATAGGCCTGTTGTGGTGCCGGTGATATGGGCACTAGTGGAGCACTTAGCGGTTTAACTTAAGTGATGTGCAATTCATTTTCAGAAAGCCGAATTACTCCTAGCGACAAAGTTTGGGCGAACTTAAACACAATTCCCGCGATCAAGTGTCACGGGTAGTAGGTGCTCAGTTATGAAACAGTAGCCTAAGTAACTCCCCAGCAGAGAAAGAAAAAGCAGAACACGTTTGGGAACCTTCTGAACGAGACCACCTTGGCGATGGAGCCGAAACGCCTTGTGCGAAATGTCGAACATCGACGAGCCCAATCAGCACGATTCTACGCGCAACCTATCCGGCAGGTCCATAGGAAATCACCCTACCACGCTCCAGGCAACGCTATGCACACACGCAATTCCGCTTGTAAGCCGTTGTCTTGCAGAGTGAAAGTAATCGTGGTTGCAATGGTTGCAATAATCACGCGTCTCTAGCTTCCTTATCTCATTGTTTCGAGCCAGTAAAGGGGCATATTCGTCGTGAATACGGACAACGATGCCAAATGCACGGAGGCATTTCGCAGACCACTTGATCGCTGGAACTGCCTTTAAATAGTTCAAGGCGTTTTGGTGCCCATTTGTATGACTAGGGCTCCTGATCCAAAATGATATATCTTTCGTTTCGGGGTAGTTATTCTCGGGTCACTTCAGCTATTTAAATTTGCTCTCACTATGAAATTTCAAGAACTCCTGGCCAGATTTCGACGAATGACTGTGGGTGATAGTGCCGGATGTGATGTTATTGGCTTTGCGGATGGTGGAAATCAGGTGAACTTCATCGTCACCTCCCCCCCCCCGAGAAAAGGATTGAAAATATAATTCATCTCTTTTCGTGGGGGGGGTGAGTCAATGAATAAATTCTCGCCGATGGTCACTATCCTTTTAAAATGCGGCAAGCAATCTACTTCCATTAATAGTCGCAGAGGTTTCTTGAGTGCGATGGTGTGACCGCACAAACTCTTTTTTTGAGCGTTGGCAGAGCCCCAAAGAGGGATTTCAGATCATTGTCGCAGCTTTCCCACAGTAAGTAGTATGGGCGAATGTTTATAGCATACTATTAGGTTGTCGCATAAGTTCTTATACACGTGTTTGATCCTCTCCTATTTCGTTCGCATGGATGTTGGTATTACGTCATCACGTGTGCGTGACGTGTACATTATACTCTTTCATTACACTAGCTATCACTCACCGAGCTTGCATTTGCAGTACACAATGTCGCACAATTTGCACTGTGACAAAAAACTTACCCTTCCGCGCAGTGTTTGGTTATTTGCTCCACGGTTTCGGCTGGAATGCAAAGGAAGCCCATACCAAGCTGGTGGATACATACGGTGAGGACGTCATCTCTTACATGACATGCAAGAATTGGTTCGCCAAATTCAAGGAAACGGAGGACTTTTCTCTCGAAGATGCTCCGAGGTCGGGTCGGCCGATGGAGTTGGATTTGGAAGTACTACGTTCCACCGTGGAGGAGGACCCGTACCTCACCACCAGAAATGGCGACCATGCTTAGCTATGATCATTCGACGGTTGCACGTGGACTAGAAAAGCTCGGCAAGGTAGCAAAGCTTGGTCGATGGGTCCCACATGAACTGTCCGCTTATGACCTTTCGAGGACGCACCTGCCACTTCTCTCCTCACTTTCCAAAAGAGGCTTCACTTTCTCAACTCGATGATCACTGGAGATGAGAAGTGGGTCCTCGATAACCCTGTGAGGAAGCGGCAGTGGGTCGACAAAGGAGAACAGCCAGAAGCCACCCCAAAGGCCGACCTTCACCCCAAAAAGGTTCTCCTGTCCTGTTGGTGGTGGTCCAGAAGAGGCATGGACTTTACGGATGCTTGCTGGAGAAGGACAGAGACGATTTGGGACGCTTTCCACATACGTGGACCAGCTCGCATGCGCAAATTTGAAATGAGTCACCGTCGACCGGTACTACGTGGAAGGAATGCGGAAATCTACTTCCACCATGACAACGCCCGACCTCACACTGCAAAGGCGACCCAGGCCGAGCTGGAGAAGTACGGATGGCTGATGGTCGCCCACCCTCCCTACAGCCCTGACCTCGCTCCTTCTGACTACTGGCTGTTCAGCCACCTGCAGCGCTATCTGGACGGAAAAAAGTTCGAAACAAAGGGATCGATCGGTCAGGAAAGGCGCTCGGACGACTCTCTTCAAGTCCCAGCCTTCGCGTCGTTTCTTGGAACGGATGGGATCGACAAAGCTGCCTGAGCGCTGGGCTCGGGAGTCGAATGGTGAGTGGCATACCCTCTAATCTCCCGGCTAAAGGTCCTTTTGGAGATATTTACAAAAACGTCGTGTATAAGAACTCATGCGACAACCTAAAATGTGTTGTGGCGCCTGATGATGTAGAAGTCAACGTTTTCACCCATCAAAAGCGACTCTAGCATGTCTTGGGTTCTCCTGACGGTTGGCGAGCCGGGATCATCTCCAGGTCATGCAACTATGCTGAGCTGCATCACAGTTTCCATTCCACCCCGTCGCCGCACAGTTTTCGTGTTAGCAGACAAAAAAAGCCCCACTTCAGTGTTTAACTTCATTGCGTGCTTCAACTAGTCGGCGCTAGAAATGAATCGTAGCGCTCGGGCTGCTATCCATAGCCATTTGCTAGTTATAGAGGACATGCGAAGCGGTAACAGATTTGCTTTTCGAAGAGGTCGTAGTATCTGCAAATGGGCAAAACAACCCAGGAGATGTGAGGGGACAAAAATCCTATTCCCTTGTTTCACGTCGTTTCTTCGCACCCATCTACTCTTGCGAAATGTTGTCGGACGTAAAAACATAATGATGAAATGGCTTGGAAAAATTCCAGAAAAGTGCCGCTTACAATTTTTGGTAACTTTTGAAAGACCTTACAGGTTTTCACAAAATGGCCCAGCACGTGCAAAGGGAGTTTGTAATGAAGCGCCATCCCCAATATTTCCCCTTAGTGGACTGGGTGGTGTACTTACATTGCTCACTTTCACGGTAATACAGGGAGGGGGACTGAAAAAAGTCACTTTGACCGGAGGGACCATATCAGCAAGATTTCGGCTGCCCCAGAGAAGAAGGACGTGGATACCGAAGTACGCAGGGCGAGAAGATACCGCAGAAGATCCTCCTCGATAAGGCAGGAGCTGGCTCCATACACCTTCATGTACACCCAAAAATTATGAAAGTTCAATTCTCCAGTCCGCAGCCTGACTGGAGAAGACCTTTAATATCATTTTCACGCTCCAAACAGCTTGCCCAAACTTTTCTACTGTTGGACTCAGCCCACTCGATAAGATACCTGGGAGAACCAGTACTCCTCGGATCTGTGATGACCCTCCAACATCGAGCAGCTCCTACAACGTCGCTACGGTCTAGGGCATCACCTTCACCCCAGTCGCCAAGGCGCGGGTTGATGGTATGTACCGGAACCTGGGGACTAGGGAAACCAAATATTTCTTCCGTGGACCCCCGCGACTTGAAGTGGAACGCTGGGCGGTACAATCGGCAACTCGTGAAGAATATCCTCCTCACATGTCGTCGCCCGTACCTTTTGGAAACTTTGTACTGCTACAGCATTGGGTGCCACCACATGGAATCGAAGGGAACTCTCGCCTACTTGGAATGGAAGGGGGCTGAGTACCTAAAGAAGATGGAATATCCAAGTAGGTCACCTGACCTGAATCCCCTCAATTACCCGGTTCGGGCGGAGTTCAATAGGGTGGTCTACGGTGGCGGAGAAATCGACTATCTCGCTGATCTCAGGCACCACATCGCGCGTGCCAGAATCTCTCGATGGCGCTCGTCCAGAAGGCTGTGGCGGAGTGTCATGATAGTATTTAATATGCTCTTTAATATGGTGGTAAAAATGTCCGATCAGAATTTGATAGTGTAACTTATAGCGCCTCGAAAGTCAATGAAGAAAAGTGACTTTTTTTGCCCCCCCCCCCCTCCGTTTATATTAGTGCTGTTTGTTAAACACGAAACTATGAATCCTCTCGAATCTGCTCTCTGGCCACTCTTATTTCCTTCATGGGAATCTCTGATATCATCGGCCAAATTCTTAGTAGTCAACGTTATGTTAAGGTTATTGCTTTCCGCTCTGTTTCATTAATTCGTCCGCGACTGATCGGCAAGCTCGATTTTGCGTGCTTGAAGGGTCACAGTTATTTAAAGCTGGTAATGCTAGCACATCATGTTGCTCCCAACTTCTGATATCACCCGCAGAAGCTTCATCATCATAATTTCTATTTATTTTATCACATGCACTCAATGATGCGCTAAAAAGAAATTAAAAAAATCCAATTCAAGGGAAAGGGCTGTGAATATTCTTAACGGCTTCTTCGCGTAATGGAATAATGCAATTGGCATCGAAGTGTTGCGGAGAAAAATGGCAGTGATGCATCGATTTTAAATAACTAGTCTTCCTTTAGATCTAGTGTTGTGATTTTGAACAACATCACAACGTTGAATTATCGGCTCTACGATGAACACAACGATTGTTGAACAATCAAAACACTTTCATTGTTGTTATATATTTTTAACCGCTCTCGCCCAAAAATGTATCATTTTCACATTCGATCTGAAAACCGTTGACCCGTCGAGTAATTGAAACTATATCACCTGAGTTCTCTGTTATCTGGG